TCGACGAACATCATCACGGCGAGGTAGCATCGTCACTACCAAATTCAAGCTAACGAGTCAAGCTAACTTGCTCTGATGATGTTCGTTACATGATGGACGAAAATTTAGCACCTTTTAACCGGAATCGAAATGGATTGCTTCGGGAACCGACCTTCGAATCTCTTCACTCAACACTTTCACTCGAAATGGAAGTAAGTTAAACAATGACTAAATCAAGGCCAAACTGAGGCATGCTGAGGGCTCAACTAGTAAGCTTTGCCTCATCAAAGTAAACTTTAACTGGTCTGGAATTGGTCAAACCTGGTTTTCACAACTTGGTCGTGTTGTCCGTGGGACCTATTTGAGCAAGATGCGTTCATTACCAAGTTGCGAAAACGAGGTCAGACCACCTACTTGCAGCGAAAGGAGACTGCGACCAAAACAGACGTCACAACATATTGGCCTTCATGTCGACTTGCGGTTTAAAAAGTAACAAATGATTTCGAAGTCTCCCAGACTCGACTGAGATACCGCTTGGTTCGGTGGCCACTTTCCACATGCATTAACGTGTCAAGCGCTATGCCGGACTGCATTTTAGACCCCAACTCATCGTGTGCTCCATCTCTCTCAGGCGGGATTCGAACCCTGGTTGTGAGGGCTTCAGGGGCTAGTCTATCATGGACTCTTCTGGTTACGTGCCAGATGCGAGTATCAAAGTGAAGCCGACTCTTCTCAGCTCACACCTTCAGTGGGCAATTGTGAGGCAGAGGCCCTGTCTTTCATGAAAGTTATACCGATGTGATCGTGGCTTGGCCGAAGAGATAGTTTGCTTCCTTGCTTCTTAGCACCTTATCTCCAAATTTTGGTGTGGTTCAAACTGTTTTTTTTACCTGTTAGGAGACATAGTGCTGTGGAGACCAGTGGACAATCGGTTTTTATTTTCGATCCCCTGTGGTACGTATGAAAAAAAGCCTTGACTGGTAAGACATTAAACGATTTTCGAATAAATTTTGAGTTATCTCGTATTCTAATCATATGAAGAAGAAGTAAAAAATGTTTTCTTTTTCTTCCCCAATAGCCGCCCGCATCACCGGCCTTCAAGCGTCCACCTCTTATCAATTCCAGATCGCCGCGATCAAAACTGGATCCTCTAAAAAGAGCTTGTCTGCTTGGAGTCCGACCAAAGTGTCCACGCTCGCTGGTAGTAGAAAGCGGAAATGAAACAAAGCTTTTTTTCGAGGGATTCCTTTATTAAGGGATATTGGCTTACCGTACATTTGACTGGCATGGATTGGTAAAATTGTTTCCCCGGAAACCGAGGGCAGATTGTCTCGGAGTCGTGAATGCTGGATTGTATCGACAGTGAGCAGAGGTCTTATTCGCACAGTCCAGCAATTATAACTTCATCACAATCCTCTCTCGGTTCTGGGTGAAACCAATCCACTAAATCTCATCATTCGCATAGTC